GTACTGACAGTGTGGAACCTGCTTGGGATTCTCTCCCTCTCGCTGTCTCTCTGCCCTTCCCCTGCTCTCTCTCTCTCTGTCTCTGTCTCTCTCTCTCAAAATAAATGAACTTTGAAAAATTTTTAAAAAAAACAAAACTTTGAGAAAATCTAGGTGACCTTGAATTTGATGATGACTTTTTAGTTATGACACCAAAGACAATCTAGCAAAGAAATAACTAGCAAGCCAGGCTCCTGTTTTTTTTAAAAACAGTTCTTCTCTGTAATTGATGCTGCCAAAAGAATGAGAAGACAAGCCACAAAATGGAAGAAAATATCTGAAAAAGGACTTGTATCCAAAAACTCTTAAAACTCAACAATAAGGAAACAAAAAGCCTGATTTAAAAAGTGGGCAAAACTCTGAACAGACATTTCACACAAGAATATATACAGATGGCAAATAAGCATGTGAAAAGATGCTCCACATCATATGTCATTAAGGAATTGAGAATTAAAACAATGATGAGATATCAAAGGTATACACACACACACACACACACACACACACACACACACACACACACACACCAGAATAGCCAAAATTCAAAACATTGACCACACAAAATACTGATGAGGATGTGCAACACCAGAAACTCCCATTCACTGCTGGTGGAAATGCAAGATGGTATAGCCATTTCAGAAGACAGTTGGCAGGTTTTTTTTTTAAACTAAATATATTCTTACCATATGGTCCAGCAATTATGTTTCTAGGTACTTAACCAAACAAGCTGAAAACTTATCCATGCAATCACCTCCGCATGAATGTTATAGCAGCCTTATTTATAATTGCCAAAACTAAAAACAACCAAGTTGTTCTTCAGTAGGTAAATAGCTAAATAAATTGTGGCACATCTAGACAATGAAATATTCAGCATTAAAAAGAAATGAGCTATAAATCACAAAAATATTTTATGGTATTTTGATATTGGGGAAGCCATGCGTATTTGGAGGCAGCTGTCATATGAAAAATCTCTGTACTTTCTGCTCAGTTTTGCTATGAACCTAAAACTCCTGTATAAAATAGAGTTTTAATTAAAAAAAAAAGGGTGGGGGAGATAAAATGGTGCACTAAAGGGATGCCTGTTTGGCTTAGTTGCTAGAGTGTGTGACTCTTCATCTCAGGGTTGTGGGTTCAAGCCCCACATTAAGTGTAGAGGTGACTTAAAAAACTAAAATCTTAAAAAAAAGTTACATTAGAAAACATCTATTTAACAAAAAACACAAAAAGCCTCAGACATATGGAAAACAAATAGCAAAATGGTAGATGTAAGTCCTACTTTATCAGTAATTACATTAAGTATAAATGGATTTAACATTCCAATTAAAAGGCAGAGATTGGCAGAACAGATTAAAAACATCATCTAACTGTTTGCTGCCCATAAGAAACATACTTTAAATTCAGAGACACAAATGGTCTGAAAGTTAAGGAATATAATATAGATCATATAAATAGTAACCAAAAGAGAACTGTAGTAACCACATTAACATCAGATAAAAACAAACTTTGGAACAAAAATTTTACTAGAGACAAAGAAGAATACTATATAATAATAAGTGTCACTTCATCAAGAAGAATAACAATTATAAGCACATATACACCTAACATCATAGCCCCAGAATACATGAAGCAAAAGTTGACAGTAATAGTTGAAAACTTCAAGAGTAGTTGGAACTTTCAATAATAGAAACATCTAGGCAGAAGATTCTTAAGGAAATAGAAGACTTGAACAGCACTACAGACCAACAGTCATCTGTAGAGCACTCCACTGAACAGCAAAATACTCCTTCTCAAGTGCACATGCAACCTTCTCCAGGGTAGGCCATGTGTTAAGCCATAAAACAAGCCTCAAAAAATTTAAGAGGATTGAAACCACAGAAAGTATGTCTTCTGACCACAATAGAATGCAATTAGAAATCAATAACAAAAGGAAATTTAGGAAATTGCCAAATAAGAAAGGATGTTTAAAATATATATTAAAATACTTTCTGAGTTTAATTTCTGAGAGTTTAAATTGAGTTTTAAATAGAGTACAAACAAAGAGATGTTTCTATTGAAATTAATTTAAAAAATATTAGTGGCCTTAATTTCTCTTTCTCCATAGAGCTGATATACCAAAAATACTCCTATATCTGTGATCCCTTTCATCATCAGCTAGGAGTCCTCTTTAAAAGAAAGTATATCATCACCAATCACTTTACCTTTCCATTTTAGCCCTGATTGTTACATTAAAGCTAGTTTTTTAAATAAATATTTTTTTAGAAACTTAAAAAAAAATTTAACATTTATTTTTGAGAGAGACAGACAGACAGAGAGTGAGTGGGGGAGGGGCAAAAGAGAGGGAGACACAATTTGAAGCAGGTTGCAGGCTCCGAGCTGTTAGTACATGGGCACAACGTGGGGCTTGAACCCATGAACCATGAGATCATGACCTGAGCTGAAGTCTGATGCTTAACTGACTGAGCTACCCCTGCGCCCCTGTAGGTAAATATTTTTAATTGTTGCTCAGTTGATGCAAGCCTATCATATAAACTGAAAACTCAAAAAGATATTCTAAATAGCAACTCCCCAAATTAAACTCTTAATCAAAAGGTAAGTGATTTTGTGGGAAATCAGCTCTGTAGATATTGGATTTGCCAATCTCTATAATCATGTAAGCTAATTACCTATCATAAATATTACATTTAAATATAATAAATAATAATATATAAAATATATATATTCCCAAAAATTAGGTGTTTTCATTACTCTAATAAGAAACAATCTTTCTACTAGAAAGTCACTATAACTTACTAAATATTTATTATATACATCTTCTCCTAAACACTGTGGGGATTATACCAAGAAAGAGATTCAGATTCTGTTGTCAGCAATGTTGTAATCTACGAAGCAGTTGGTTCTCATAAGACAAGCACACAAATAATTTCAATTACATTCAAAATGTGATAAATGCAATGATTAAGGCACGAAAGAGTAAAGTGATTCAAAAAGGAAATTATTACATCCAATTAGAATACTTAGGAAAAACTTCTTATAAAGCAATGGTTGGCAACCTTAACTGCTCATTATTATCACCCTGGTAGCTTTAGGAAACTCTGGTAACCAGACTTCACTACAGACTATCAGAATATCTCAGGGAAGTGGCCTGAGCATCAGAATATTTTAAATCTCCCTAGGTGATTGCAATGTGCAGCCAAGTTAGAGGACCATTGTTATAAAGGATGGGGGTAGGAAGGAGTAAATAGAACTGAACGATGGGTAAGATTTCAGTTGAAAGGAAGAAGATACTGGAGAACGCGGAAGAATCTTCTCCCCATATGGCTGATTATTTTCAGTTTTCAAATCAGAGCCCAAGTATAATATTCTTTCAAATGCTCTGAAAAACTTCACTGATGATAGTAATAATAATGGTAATAAAAGCTGACACATTTTTATAGCCCTTGCTATATGACAAGTATCATTCTAAGCACTTTAAATATATTTCAAAATTTAATCTTCCCTCAAACACTAGGAGATAGAATTGTTATTCCCATTTTTCATGAGAGGAGGGTAAATAACTTGGCAAGGTTGTACAGCTAACAAGTGGCAGAACTAGAATTCAGATATAATGACTTCAAAATCCATGTTGAAACATGGCTAACAGGAGCTAGATGTTCCTTATCAAGACTCTCATGGAATCCAGGCATATTTCAATCACACCATGAATCACATCATATTGCAAATGTTTACTAGATTTCTCTCCTCAGCTCATCATTTATTCATTCATGCATGCATTCAATAAACAACTACTGGAAATGTGCTTGGTACTAGATATACAAAGTCATATATGTGATATTTTATCTGTCCTGAAGTTTTAGTCTAGAGGAGCATTCAGCAAACTACAGTTCACAGGCCAAACTCTGCTGGACATCTGTTTTTATAAATATTTTTTTATTGAACCACAGCATGTCCATTGGTTTATATATCACCTATAGCTTCTTTCATGTTACAGGATCAGAGTGCAATAGTTTTGAGGGAGACCATCTGGTGGCAAAGTCTAAAATATTTACTATCTGTTTTCTTATAAAAAAAAAAAAAACTTTTGCCAACCCCTGGTCTAGAGAATAAGGCAAATAAGAAAATCATCAACAGGGGCACCTGGGTGGCTTAGCTGGTTGAGCATCCGACTCTTGATTTCAGCTCAGATCATGATACCAGGGATGTAGGACTGAGCCCCAAGTCGAGCTCCATGCTAAGCATGGAGCCTGCTTAAGATTCTCTCTCTCTCTCCCCCTCGCCCCTTCCTCTCTCTTTCTCTAAAATAATGAAAAAAAAATTTAAGAAAATCATCAATGACTATCCAATAAGGTACATGTTATTGGTGACCAAGATATTATGGGAATATAAAATATATCTAGAGTAAGTTACATATATAATAGAATATTATTCATTATTATGAATATTGGAATAATGGAATAATATTATGGATGAATATTTTCAGCCCTAATAAAGGATGAAATCTTACCATTTGCAACAACATGGATGGATCTAGAGAGTATAATGCTAAGTGAAATAAGTCAAAGAAAGACAAATACCATGACTTCACTCATACATGGAATTTCAAAAACAAAACAAATGAAACAAAGAAAAAAGACACAAATTAAAAAAAAAAAGACTCATTACAGAGAATAACCGATGGTTACCATAGGGGAGGTGGGTGGGAGACTGGATTAAACAGAAGGGGATTAAGAGCACACTTATCAAGATGAGCCCTGAGTAATGTATGGAACTGCTGAGTCACTATATTGTACATCTGAAACTCATATAACACTGTATGGAAAAAAAAATAATTCTAATTTTTTCACCCACTTCCCTAGAGTGAAAAAAAAACAAAAGCTACCACTTTGTATTGTTTTCAATTGTATAGATGTATTCATCTATTAACAATAGTTTTACAAATATGAAATCATTGCAATTTACTGTACCTGGAAAATTCATAGGCAGCTCAAATGGTTGCGGACGTTCACAACCCTCAATGTGCTCACAAATTTCAGCTATGATCTTCTTAATTTTGAGACCAATAATTTTAATTACTTCTCCTGTTGATAAACAGCATTCATTTCCAAACATTTCATAAATGGAACCTAAAAAAAAGGAAGAGTTGAAACAGCTTTAAAAAAAAAGAAATAAGGAAGAACAAAGCAAGAGTCTAAAGCCTCATCTAAAGTGTTTTTATTCAGTTCCTCTCCTAGCTACCTACTTACTAAATAGGAATTTAATCAAGCTTGGCAAAATGTACAGCATGTACCAAGAAAAATATTAGATTTTCACTTCATGCACTGGGCAAAATATAAACAACCTTATTTTTGTTATTATTGTAAATTAGATTTATGGTTTCCTCAGCACCTTTAGCTCATCATTCCAAGGTCAAACTACAAACATGTCTTCCCTCTCTGGGATTTATGATCTATTTTTGCTGGGTCACAGAATTAAGCTCCTGTGAGTCAACAATGATCTAAGTATGTATTACAAACAAGGTTGTATTACAATCCAAGATCCAAAGATAGAAGGTCTGCACAACAGGGCCTTATATTAACAGCATCCTATCTACTTATTAAACCTGTTTCTCTTCATCCTTGTGAATATAAGATTTTTTGTCCATCTAATCTCTTGATTTTTGACAAGCTGGAAACATCTCTTGATATCTTAATGGCAATAGGGGGCAGACCAGCCCAGATAAACTGAAAAGCTTCACTGTAGGTCAGAATTTCAGTCTCTTTCCTAATAAACCTTTTATCATAGATACTAAAGTTAAGCTTTCCATCCATTTATTTTCCTTTTATCTCCTGATGGAAGGAGAGCGAGCAGTGAAATAACCAGAACATGAACGACAGGAAAGAGAAGAGGCAAAAATGTCTGGATAATCTACCCCAAGTAAAAAGGGAAACAACTCGAAAACTACATCTCTGAGGTATTATTACTTTACACCTGAACAGTAAATGAAAGGCTGATGTAAAAAAAAATTACAGAACTGTGGGGATTTAAACATATCAATTTTTCCCTACCTCCAATATGATTTATATCCTCTTTACCATACTAAAATGTGAACAATATGAGTACAAGATTTCAGGTTGGTTGGTTTGCTTTCTGAATTCTTCTTTATTGAATCCCGTCCTCATAGAATCTTACTGATATATAGCAGGCACCGAAAACATTTTTGTAGTATCATTGGTTATCCTAAAAGTTATTAAGAGTGGCTTCCAATCTAGCATTAAACAACTCTGCCACTGTAACAGAATGTCAACAGGGAGCAGGGGGGCACACGCGAATTAGAATAATTTAAGGAGATTTTAACAAAGGGGCAATTTACACAGAGGCACAGACAGTTCTGGGCAACGCAAGAAAATAAATATCCTGACCTCACTCTTCTCCCTCCGTCTGATCCTCTGCCAGGGTACCCTTCTTTGGCCAAAGTCAGCCAGAAGCCAGAGGACAAGGAAGCTGCTGATGCCGCCACAGAAGTCAGCCTCCAAGGTAGAAAGTGGAAATGCAAGTCCAGCACACCATTCTTACTGTTCAGTATTTAATGAGGACCATTTTTGCAAATATGCTAGTATATCTGCTCAAGTCCTGAGTATGTACTTTCATAACTCCCCTTTTTTCTCATACTATTCCCTTACTATGTATGTGTTCACAACGTTCATTAACTCCCAAACATAGTTTGTTAGCTGTCTCAAATCTTTTGTGGAACAATTGGAATATTTTAAAAAAATAATACCAAATATATAGTGGCATCTTCCTCCAATGAACTCAGAACAGCTATTTTTTTATGATCCACATTTGGCACTTAATCATATACTAACATGTTATATCTTCAGTATTTCTCATTCTGTACTTACCTTTTTATGACTTTAGTTTGTATTACTCTCCATTCAAACCTCATGAAAGAAAATGTTGCATTATATTATTGCATAACTACAACACATCCACCACTCTTCCTCATTCATTCAGTAAACTTTAATGAAAACCTACTATGCGTCAGGCATTGTGATTAGTGGTAGGTATCAGAGATAAAATGCATAACCTCTTCCTCCCAAAAAGCACTGCCTTGAAGCAAACAGACAAATAAGCACACACTACAACATATTATCAGAAAGTTTTAACATAGAAAATACAGCACATTGTGGGAGAATATTGGAAGCATTTAATTAAGCAATTACAAGGTAAAGCGATTAGGGAAGGATTCCTGGAGGAGACAACAGCTAAGCTGAGCTTTAAAGGAAACAACAGAAGATGTTGGAGAGACAGTATTTGAAAAGGCACTGAGATGTGAAAGAGTTTGATACATTCTGGAAATTGTAAGTAGTTTGTTAATGTCTCAAATCTAAAGTAAGGAAGGGTAAGAAAGAAGACTAGAAAAGAAAAGGAAGTCCAGATCATGCAGCATCTTTATGAAATTACCAATAAACAAAGAAGTCAAAGTCTAATGCAACCTCAAAGTCAGAGAATCTTAATTTTCAGTTATCTGGGTCCAGGATCTGATATCAATTTGATGAGAGGTCATATGTATCTAGGGGCTTGCTATCCAAAGTGTGGTCTACTGTATCACCTGGGAGCTTGTTAGATTCTTGGCCTGACCCCAGAACTGCTGAATCAGAATCTGCATCTTTAACAAGATCTCCAGATGACACATAAATACATTAATGTTTGGGAAGCTGTGATCTAGGCCACAAATGTATAACTATAAAAAAAAGTTCTGTTCTGAGACTGTTCCAAATTAACCAGAAAGGGAAGGACATGCCATACAAAAGCATTCAGTGACACTGAGCTGGAGGACATTGTAAATGGGGACAGGGAAAAAGAAAGATTTTTAGTCAGGAAGTGACATGGTAAGATTTTTCTTTGTCACATGAAATAGAACATGAGCTGAAGTCCGTTAGGCTTAATATCGATGCGATGAGTGTCTAATTGTAGATGTAATGTATATCAGACTGCCTTCTCAAAGGTTCCACTGGAATTCAAAATTAAAAGATGAATTTATGCGAGATTATATATCAATTCACAGGACTAGAAGCTAGAGAATTCTACGAGGAGAAAATTCTAAGAGTATTAGTCACCACACAAAAAGGTTTTGACTCTTCAGGTCTCTTTCCAAGAATCTCTCCTTTTGAAAAAAAAAAAGTCACTTCTTTCAGTCATACGAGGAAAAGAGCTTCATGCAAATACTAATCTTTTATATTTACCTTTAAATATTTGTGACTTTCAATTTTCTCTAACCAAGAATGCCGTTAATTCATTTTTAATAAAGAAAGTGGTTGCTGACACAAAACACTAAAAAGTTATGTCCATGAAAGGTAGCAAGAACGTATGGCAAATCACAAATCCCTGAAACTTGAAGGGTTCCCGTACTCTATTACCATCAACATAATGTCTCCTAAAATATATTTTTCCTCAGTGAAAATGTAAAATGGTTAATTTTTAAAATAGCCAACTTTCATAATCTCAGAATGAGCACATATAACATATGTAATTGCCTTTTAAAAATTTGCTGAGATATGCCTGAACTATGTGTTTATGTATAATACAGATGTAGATATTAAAATAGTTTTCATTTCATTTTAACCATGACATATATTTTGAATATGCAAATCTCAAATCTATTAAATCTTTATAGACTGATTCTTTCCAAGTCAGAGCATATGTATTCAGGATAATGCCAAACATCAGAGGAAGCTGGAACAAAGCAGCCTATTTTCAGTGATCAAACATTGCCCCTGAAGGCTGTAATGAAAGAGCCATGTGCCTTTGAAATCACCTTCTCTGTAATGCTACTTTGCTCAATAAAAATGACACATTAATATCCTTTTATGAGCTCATCCCTTATTTGACAATCCATATAAGCAATGCTATGATCACATTGGAATAGCCAAAACAATTGGTTCAATAGATTTTCTTCCATTTCGTATACAAAGTTAAAAGCATGTGGCAATCAGGGAGAAGGAAACTTACATTGTTTAGAGGCTATTTTCCCTTTACTCAAGAGGTACCCATTCTCTCCATTCCCTAATTCCTTCCCCTGCCCTACCAGGTCACTCACTCACCCCTTTATCTCATCAGCCTTTCAAAATTCAACAAAACCTAAAGATTCAGCTCATATTCATCATCTTCTTCAAAGTCTTTCTTGATTCTTACACCTAGGTGAGAATTATTCTCTCCTCTGTGCTCTAAAGCAGTTTGCATGTATCTCCATTATAGCCCTTATGTGATTATTATCACAGCCCTTATGCGATTATTATCACAGTCTGCTATTGGGATATTATCTTCTACCCACTGATATTATGTATGTTTTAGAATTTATCATGAGTTCCTAGAGAAGTGATAACTCTTAACTATATTTATACCTACCCTCACATTAAACACAACTAGTAACACAGTTTTTGACACTTAGTAGATCCTTGGTGAATATTAAATTATATATAACTTAGCTTTACTGTAAAATGACAATAAATTATTGTGAATATAGTAGAAAGAATGATTAACCAGCATATCATTTGACATATTTAATATCAAATGTACAAGCATATGTGAGATTAACCAGACAAGGCATAGATGGGTAATTCTACAATATGAATCTCTTACTCGTTAAGTTTCCTATTTTACCATTAAGTTTACCATCTTTATATTGCTGAACCTGAGGGTGGTGCTCATGAAACAATATGAGACAAGTGTAGAGTTAAAAAATTACATCTGCAAAGTTTGATTGGTATTGTATGACAGTGTATATAGAGCCTTGTCAGATTGGGATTGCCAGTGAAGATGTGTTTTTACTCGTCATAAACAGGTGTGAATATTTTTTCTTTGCTTAAGAATAGTGCAAATTACCAAGAAGAAGCTTTCCCACAAAGGAAACATGTAAGTATGAAAAAAATTTATTAGCAATGCCGTACTTGGTGGTTAAGGCATTCATTGTAGTGATAAATTCAATTTTCTAAATGAAACTCTACATAGTGTACCATAGGCTTAAAGCTTGAAGTGGCCTATGGCTGTAACAGACATTTACATGGCCAGTCTTCCGTAAAAAGACCATCTCCATCCCCTGTAAAGCAGAGACAAAGTTATTCCCACTATATGAAGAATATGCCTA